AAAAAGCCACATACGAGCTGTCTTTTCTGTTGGATACAGATTTCTCCCTTACCTGTGCCTCCTCCAGGTGGTGGTCTGTCACGTGGTGGGCCAGGCCATTCAGTTCTTGGTCAGTGAGAAGCCTGCCTCGGGTGCTGGATGCCGGCTCTATGACGTGCGGCTCTCCCCATTCCATTTACAGGTAAAGATGTGTAGAGTTTGCAATTTGTGAGAACCGTCAAAGTCACAGTTCTCAGAAATGTGAAGAGTGAGCATGGTGTGAGTTACAGGGCTGTAACGATTCATGTTTTTATTAATTCCCATTCATGTCATAACTTTCAGACTCTAAGCCTCCATATAGTATTTTATACATAGGAAATGATCACACGTATGTACTACACACATCCATTACACACATCCACCACACACACAAACACACATATTTTTATAATAAACCCAGAGGTTGTGTCTTTCAGGCATTTGAACGAGTCGGGGTGTTGTTGATGGATAGGATAAGGCAAGCGGCATCAGAGATGAGAAACGGGGCCAGTTCCAAACCCGGCGCTGGGCTGCAGCTTGGAAACACAGCTGAGCGGCTGGGGTGGGGCAGTCCTCTCTTCAGTTTTTGGCAAAGTCAGTTTTCAAAGAACTCCCTTATTATTTTTATAAGTTAAAAAATTAGTATTACTATTAGTAATTATTCCATGTTTTTATAATAGACATAATAATAAAGGTGCATATATAATTATACATATCTCTACAATTTTATAGAGAGAGGCTTACAGATCTATAATTATAGTAAAGCCAGTGACACTTCAGATGCCCAAATCATCATTGAGCTGTGCGGCCCTCACATCCTGCAGAATATTCACTGGAGTTCCTGTTTAGCTGGTATTTAAAAATTGCAGATGTCTGCACCTGTTTCAAGGGTCACTGCTAGTCCCGTGCCCTGTTTCATCCCCGTGTCCTTGGACTTGGCTCTTAATTTGGGGGATGAGCTCAAGTCATGCCGAATTTTCAATCGCAAGGGAAGATGGCATCCCATGTGCTTTTCCTACAAAAGCATGGTTTTCAATAGCCAGCACTGACAAAATTTCCTGGCTACCTAAGTGGCTTTTTTCTGAAATCCACCCCCCAGTTCCTCAGCCCCACCCCAGCTGCACTCCCTCTGAGACAATGGAAGAGGTGAAGAGTTGGCACTGTGGGCCTGTGAGGTGTTCCTGCTCTCCTGCACCCCGCAGATGATTTGGACAGTGTGATTAGAAAATAGCCTTCAAAGTTTGGGTCATATTTACCCAACCTTTGATGCACGTTCTGGAGCTGAATGAGTCCAGACAGGCTCACAAACACAAATGAAGAAATGTCATTTCGGACATTGTGTTATTATATCCACGTGTTCCTGCCACTTTCAGCAGCTGGCACAGAAGGAACACAGTTGCACCTTTGATCACTTAACAGTTAGAAACCGGTGTGTGGGCTGCCTCTCAGGGCAGGGGCAGCTGCCAGAGATGGGTCAATAATTGATGCTGGTGGCAGGAGGTGTGGCTGCTTCTCTGATGTTCCTCTGACCAGAGATGCAGGAGTGGTCTCCATCGACTCAGCCATCTGTGTCAAAACCATTACAGTGCACTTTTCCCCTGGAATTACCTAACTTTTTCCTAGAATTACCAGGCAAGGAAGGCAGGGTGGAGATGGTTATGAAGTAGAAGTCATCATTTTTCTCTACCCTGCTTCTCGCATGAGGTGAGAGTCCCTGTACCCAGATGATCAAAAGTCACTCTTCCCTTTTGTTTGGGAGTGGGAAGGGATGGAGATGCCCAAAGTTAAGATTTTCGCGTTGGACACAGCTTCTGGCCGGAGAATGAAGGGTGCGGTATTAGCTTTCTGTGGCTACGGATGCAAATGACCATGAGCAGCTTCAGGCAGCACAGACTGGGGAAGCCACCAGGAAGGAGGCTGGATGTCCAGCCAGGCCCACTTCAAGGTGCCGTCGGGCTGCCTGCCGTAGCGGCAGTCACGGGGCATCTGTTCATTGCTTTTGGGGTTGTTGGTTGAATTTCATTCCGTGGGATTACGGGACTGAGCTCCATTTTCTTGTTGGCCGTCAGCGGAGGGCCATTTCCGGCTCCTTGAGGCACCCGATTTTTCTGCTCAGGGTGCCCTCCTCCACCTCCACACCAGCAGGGAGGCATGCAGTCCTCATGCCACATACCCGGCCCTTCTGCTCCCCGACTCTTCAGGACTCAGTGTTTCCACTGGGCTCATCTGAAGGGCCCAGGGTCATCTCCCCATCTTGAGGTCCTTCCCCTATTGCACCTGTCAAGTCTCCTGTGCCCGGTAAGGTCCCACAGTCACAAGTTCCAGGGATTAGGGTGTGGACCTCTTTGGGGGCCACTGTTCTGCTTCCCAAATGGGCTGGATGGGTGGAACCATCCTTAGAGATTGGAGTCCACTTAGAGGCTGCTGTGGTGGCCCAGGCAAGAGACAGTAAAGACGCCGTTGCACTCCACATGGAATCTTCTGGGCTGCGTGAGTGCAGGAGCAGGGCAGCCCACGTCCAGGGTCAGAATGAGGCACCCTGGGCCCTTCTCCCACTCCTCTCTCCTTTATGCCTTGTGGGTACTCCCAGAAAGAGAAACCCAAAGCACAGCTAGCTATTCATGTTCAAAAGACTGTGGGGCTTTGATGACATCTGGCTGTCAGCCACCAGTGTGGAGGTCCCTCTTTGAGGGGTAGGCTGAGGCCAGGCAAGGGGCAGAAGGAGAATGGGTAAAGGGAGTTTGGGGTCCTGCTCTCCATTTTGAAAGCACATAATATGCCAAGTGGAAAGCTCAGCAGTTTTCTATGAAATAGAAAACGGAATAAGTGAATAAGTGAGCAGGTACACACATGCATGCACACACACTCATAGGCACACACATGCACACACACGTGCCCACACAGGCCACATGCTCACATGCACACTTGCACACATGCTCAAGTACACATGCACACGCACACATGCACAAACATGCACAAACGTGCACACACACACATGCTCACATACATACATGCACACATGGACACACACATGCTGACATGCACATTTGCATACACACATGCTCACATACACAGTCACATGCACACACACCTGCACATTAAGGCTTTGGTGGAAATAGTAGCCCTCTAATAACTTTTATTTTAACAGCTGGAGTTCCACCTGAAAGAGAAGAAAGAGGACCTCCAGATTAGCTGGTCCTTCATGAGTGTGCCCGAAATGGCCATTACTGTCCAGCCCAAAGCACTGGGGGAGGTCAGTCTGTAAGGTTTTACGATTCTTCCATTGGCGTGAGAGCACATGTGAGTTAGGACTGTCTGCAGTGGGGAACCGAGTGCATGCTGGTGTTGGTGGCCTCCTCCCCTATCCCCAGCCACCCCTTCTCAGGCTGGTGTGGGCCTCTTGGGATGTGGATGGGCCCTTTGGCTTGGCGGGGCCTGTGAGCGGGTGGATGGCTTTGATGGATCGAATGCAGGGCTGTACCTGGAGTCACTTGATCACTTAAAAAAATCCTGAAGCTTTCCCTGCCCCACCCCAGATGTGGATTTAATGGCTGGGGATTATTTTAGCACTCGTGCACCCAAGGGTAATGACACTGTAGGTACCCCCTCGATGCTCCGCCACGTCTGATGATCAGTCCCCTCTCCCACGGTGAGGGCACTGCACACATGACTTGGGCTGAGTCCGAAGGCTGCTTCCAAGGGCAGTGCCTCACTCCTTTCTACAGTTTTTGCAAAGACAGAGCTAAAATCTGAAGGCGATTTCCTTCCTGCGTTGCTTGGTTTTAGTCCTCTGAAGGTGTGAGGTTGGGGGCAGGAAGCGGGCTTGCAAAGCCCATCTGTTGACTCTCTCCTCTTTCCCCAGGACCAGGTGGCCGAGATGCGCATGGTGTCGGACACTCTGAAGGACCTCTTGAAGCATTTGGTTGGTTCTGCCTCTCCATCAGTGCTTCTGATCACCAAGCCCATGAATGTACAGGAAGCTCAGGTAAACGCACCTGGGTGCTGCGGGTGCATCTGAACCCCATTAGGGGCCATGCCAGCCTCTCTTGGAGAATCTGTGTGCTTTTCCAGCGTTCCTCCACCTCCCATAGTAGAGCCAAGATGGCACACTTGCTTGCTGGGATAGTGATGGTGGGCATGAGATTTAGGTTTGGGGCATGGGGCTGCAAAGCTCCATGAAGTGAAAGGAAAACCTGACATTTCCCTGTCCATTCAGATCCTGAGACCTCATCCTTCCAGGACTAAGGTACCTGGGAAACCAGCCAGTGTTGAGAACATCGCCCCAGAAGGAAACAGAGCCCAGTGGGTGGGATAGACAGAGATGGAGCCAGCCTGCTGCCCTGCTCTTGCCTGCAGTAGCTGCTGCCTCTTGGAGGTCTGTGTCCTTTGGCAGTGGATGATAAAGGAGGCTAGTCTCGTCTGTGCGACCCCCTTTTCCATGTCGCTTGCCTCCCTCCTCATTCTAGAACCCTCCTGCACCATCTGATTAGGGTGCTACTCACGTTCCTGGTTAAATTCTCATCCAGAGCATTTGCCCTGGTCAACCTAATGGGCCTAAATAACACATCAACGATCCTTTGTTTAAGGTGAGTTCTCTCCGTCATATGCTGAACTTTTTTATCATGACTCTGTAAAACAGGCACATATAGGCCCTGAAGTTTAAAAAATATATTTTTGGGCTGGGCACAGTGGCTCATGCCTGTAATCCCAGCACTTTAGGAGGCCGAGGCTGGTGGATCACAGGTCAGGAGATTGAGACCATCTTGGCCAATGTGGTGAAACCCCATCTCTAATAAAGTACAAAAATTAGCTGGGCGTGGTAGCACATGCCTGTAATCCCAGCTACTTGGGAGGCTGAGGCAGGAGAATCGCTTGAACCCAAGAGGTGGAGGTTGCAATGAGCCGAGGTCATGCCATTGCACTCCAGCCTGGTGACAGTGCAAAACTCCATCTCAACACACACACACACAGAGTCTGTCTTTATTATCTAACTCTTAGTGAAGTCAGTTTGAAAATATAAACTCTTGTGTGATGCCGGTCTTTGATCTGCCGTTCTTATTAGGGCAAACATCACCAGCTGTCAGTAGGTAGAGTCTAAAGACTGATTCATTGAACAGATATCAGTTGATGGCAGTGTTTGGTGCTAAGCCCTGGCCCTGGGAGTCACAGGAGTATAAGGAAGCATCATCACCGTCCCAAAGCCTGCGCCATGCAGAAGGGGCGCTGGGCCAACAGAGCAGAGCAGGAGGGGGTGTGGATGTCTTGGGGGGGCTTCCCAGGGGCCTGAGGTCCGGGGGCACTCAGCCTCTCCAGATGGAGGGGACCAGGCCATGAGGTGAGAGCACAGTCCCAGCACTGACCCTCTCAGTAATTCTGTCACAGTAGCTTATCTCACATCAGAAGTGACTGTTCTGAATATGACAATAAACCTTTAATATCCGAATGAATGCAACTTCATAAAATAGTCATATATTTTTGGAATCCATGAATTTAAAAAATAATAGGACCCAGACAATCATAACTTCAATCATGCTTTTATATAAATTTATATTTATCAAAATAGGATATTATATATATATAATTATATAAAATATATAAAATTATATTTATATATAATATATAAAATATATATATTATATATGTATAATATAATATTATATATATATAAATATATATAATATATATATATAAATATATATATATAAAATACTGGTCAGGACTTTTTAGAGAAACTGAACCAATGGGAGAGTGTGTGTGTGTGTATGTGTGTGTACTCAGCTCACATAATTTTGAAGGCTGTGTGTGAATGTGTGTGTGTGTAATCAGCTTACATTTTAAAGGCTGTGTGTGTGTGTGTAATCAGCTCACTAATTTTAAAGGCTTTGTGTGTGTATGTGTGTGTATGTGTAATCTTACATAATTTTGAAGGCTGTGTGTGTGTATGTATGTGTGTGTGTGTAATTGGCTTACATTTTAAAGGCTGTGTGTATGTATTTGTGTGTGTGTGTGTGTGTGTAATCAGCTCACATAATTTTAAAGGCTGTGTGTGTGTATCTGTGTGTGTGTACTCAGCTCACATAATTTTGAAGGCTGTGTGTGTGTGTGTGTGTGTGTGTACTCAGCTCACATAATGTTGAAGGCTGTGTGTGTGTACACTCAGCTCACATGATTTTGAAGGCTGTGTGTGTGTAATCAGCTCACATAATTTTAAAGGCTGTGTTGTGTGTGTGTGTGTGTAATTAGCTCACAATTTTGAAGGCTGTGTGTGTGTGCGTGTGTGTGTACACTCAGCTCACATGATTTTGAAGGCCGTGTGTGTGTGTGTGTGTGTGTGTATACTCAGCTCACATAATTTTGAAGGCTAAGTCCTGAGATCTGTGTCTGTGCTTGGCAAGCCGGAGCCCCAGGAGAGCCTGTGGGGTCATTCTAGCTCGAGTCTGAAGGCCTGAGACCCAAAAAAGCCAGATGTGTACATTCCATTCCAAAGGCCAGCAGGCTCAAGACCTGTGAAGACTCACTGTTTCAGCCAAGCCTGAAGGCAGGACAAGACCCTGCCCTGGCTCAAGCAGTGAAGAAGAGGAGTTCCCTTTTACTCAGGCCTTTTGTTCCATTGGGCTTCAACTGACTGGATGAGGCCCACCCACATGAGGGACAGAGCCGTGCATCACTGGGTGTGCTGAGTCAAATGCTAATCTCATCCAGAAACACACTCACAGTCACACCCAGAATCATGTCGGACCAACTGTCTGGTCACCCTGTGGCCCGGTCAAGTCGACACATACAGTTGACCATCACCCTCAGCAACTGAAGGAAGGTTCATCTCCGTCCCAGACAGGCAGATTGCTCGGTCTCCAGTGCTCATGTCCTTGGATTTCAGGGACATCAGCAATTCCTTCTTGGGCTCCAGCACCCTCAGCTCACATTTGGGAAGTGCCTGGCTCAGAACAGTGTTTTCTAGGTGGGAAAGAACACCTGTGTCTCTTGAGATGTTAGTGAGCATTTCCCCCAAGAAGTGCTCAGTCACATCAGCACCCAGGGTCTCTGCCTGAAAACTTCTCACAGCATGGGGGCTGACGCCACCTCTGAGAAACCCTCTGGGTCCCCAAATGCTTGCAACTAACAGAGCTTCTTTTAAAAGAACACTCTGGCTGGGTGTGGTGGCTCATGCCTGTAATCCCAGCACTTTGGGAGGCCGAGGTGATAGGACCACCTGAGGTCGGGAGTTCAGGACCAGCCTGGCCAACATAGTGAAACCGCATCTCTACTAAAAATACAGAAAAAAAAAATTAACTGGGTGTGGTGGCAGGCACCTGTAATCCCAGCTACTCAGGAGGCTGAGGCAGGAGAATCACTGAATCCAGGAGGCAGAGGTTGCAATGAACCAAGATTGCACCACTGCACTCCAGCCTGAGCAACAGAGCAAGACTCTGTCTCAAAAAAAAAAAAAAAAAAGAGAGAGAAAAAGAACACTCTTGGCAGTGGGTGACAGGTGGAACCCAGTTTGGGAAATGCTGGTTTGAAGCTGGGCTCTTCCAGATTTGGGGTGCTTTCTGTTGGAAACGCCCTGGTGCCTTTGGAGGATGTGATGTGATGGAAGCTGGTCCCAGCTGCCGCTGCCTCTGTCCCCTCACCTGTGCAGTGCTAGGGGATGCGTAGACATTCCTCGCGTGGACGTTGGACTCTGTGTGGAGGCAGGAAACAGGTGTAGGGTGACGTCCCTGGCCGTTCCCATCTGACTGGTGTCCTGCTCTGTGCTAGCAGCCGCGGGCGCCCACAGCCGGCAGAGGAGGTCCCCATGCACTTAAGCACCTGCCCGGGTCGGATGGTTTAGACCCATGGCAAAGTGAGCTCCATCTCCCCCTGCAGTAAGGTTTGGGAACCCTGTCTGTAGCTGAACGCGTTGCTACTTGTACTTGGCTGTGTTTAGGACAGAAAATGCTCCACACTGGGGATGGTGGTGGCTCATCGGTTCCCTCCCTTCCCATGAGAAGGGGCATTGTTTCAGAGCAGAGACTGGAGCTCAAGCTGCCTGTGCAGACTTTCCTGTAGATACCCACCCCCGCCACCCCCCATAACAGGAGTCCAGCAGCTACTTCCTTGGTCCTCAGTCTCCCCACGAGGACCAAAAATAAAATGCTCTTTATGTTTTCAGAACTTAGAGTGTGCTCCGTCGACTGCTCAGGAATCCTGTCCTCCCAAACCTCCGCGGGCTCACGAGCTAAAGCTGCTGGTGAGGAGCATCCGCGCCTTCCTGCTCAGCGAGCCTGATGCTTCAGGTGGGTGACGATAGGATCCTGCCTCCTGGATGGGGCTGTTCCTGCCCCTGAGCAGAGTCGGGGGCTGCCAGGTGGGCTCCAGGGGGCTTAGATTCTCTGGTGGCATCCTCCCATGGAGCCGCGGCGGGAGCCCTGCCTTTGTTGCAGAAAGCACCTGAAAATGTAACAGGAACAAGAGGTGGTTAAAAATCCGATCCTATCTCTGCACGTGTGAAGTCCTGTGGGAGAACGGAGTGTAATTGGTTTTACCTTTTTCATTTGTCTGGAGTGATCCTTTTTTTTCTTTTCTTTCCTTTTTTTTTTTAATATTGAACCCATATGTATGTGTCGAGCATCCTGACCAAGGTGCAGCTTCTGCTGTCAGGCGCAGTGGCTCACACCTGTAATCCCAGCACTTTGGGAGGCTGAGGTGGGCAGATCACAAGGTTAGGAGTTCAAAACCAGCCTGGCCAACATGGTGAAACCCTGTCTCTATTAAAGATACAAAAAATTAGCTAGGCATGCTGGTGCATGCCTGTAATCTTAGCTACTTGGGAGGCTAAGGCAGAAGAGTCACTTAAACCTGGGAGGCAGAGGTTGCAGTGAGCCAAGATCACGCCATTGCACTCCAGCCTGGGCAACAGGGCAAGACTCCATCTCAGAAAAAAAAAAAAAAAAAAAAAAAGAATGTGGGTGAAGCGGGGATTTGATGCATCAAGTGGCTTCGGCCACACTCGGGACTCCGGTGCTGGCAGGCCATGGCTGCTGTTGGAACCAAGACAAGCAACACAGAACGGATGACCCCTTCTGGGTGGTTCTGAATCATTGCTGAGCCCTGGACACAGAGTCACTCGGGACAGGGCACCTCTTTATGCTGCAACTCCATTTTGCCAAGAACAGGAGCAAATTGTGTTGCCCGAGCATGTGAAGGGGGACTTACCTTTATTTGCAAGGGGCTTCTTCCATTCCAAAAGCACAAATAGGCCACCTCTAGCAGCCGAGACTGTGCAGGGCCAAGCTGTCGAGGATTTCTTTCGGTGAAAGTGCCGCGTGTTGCCCTTTAAGCCTGTACTGCCTAGTGGCTCAGCGTGGGCTCCCCGGACTCAGCCGGCCAGGGTTGGGGTCTCAGCTCCCACACACACCTGCCCTGAGGCCAGGCCCCCTTCCTGCCTCTGCTGGATGTCTCCATGCCTGGGCCCGAGCCTCCCTTGACGAGTGACTGTGAAAGCCCAGTAGAGAATCTGCGTAGGATGCTCCTCCCTCCTGCTGCGTGGGTCAGGGTCCACACACTCTCGCAATGACTGATTCCACAGTGTATTGGCACCGTGTGCTGCAGGGAGAAGCGTTGTCTCAAAGCAGAAAGAACTGTGCGATAGTGACATGTCCCACCACCTGGGTCAAATACCCCGGCAGCACCTGTCTTGTGTAAGGCGAGAAAAGGGTGCTCCGTGAGGTAGCTCCCAATTTAGGAGACAACAGGAATTGATGTTTCGGCTTTGGCAAGCTTTAGTCTTATCCAAAAGTGGGGACCAGGCCTCTGTATGTAATGGTGCTGCCTCTCGGGGATGGTCCCCCTGGGAGCCCATGACTATGCCCTCATAATTATTTTCCTAATTAGCTCCCGAGTCCTATATATCATCTCCCTAATACAACAGAACTAACTCACACCAGTACCATGAACGCTCAAGAAATGGAAACAGTCTGAACCATCTTACCTGCCGTTATCCTCATCATACGTGCCCTCCCATCCCTACGTATCTTACATATAGCAGACGAAATTCATAAACCTTATTTAACCCTCAAAACATTCGGCCGCCAATGATACTGAAGCTCTGAATATTCAGACTGTGAGGCTCTGGCCTTTGACTCTTACGTAATACCAACACTGTGTCTACAACAGGTGAGCTTCGACTCCCTCAAGTTGGTAACCTGTGGCCCGCACTGGCGGAGGGGGCCAGGCACTTGGAGTCAGCCCAGGGCTGTTGATATCAAATGTGGGAAAAATTATTTCACCCTGATAAAGGCTGGTGCTTTGAGAGTTTGAAAATGGCAAATGAAAGAATTCCCACTCTCTGAAGTGGGTAAGCCTCAACCTTAGTCATTTAATTTAGCCTTTCTTTCCATGCATACAATGGCTTCACGCAGTTTAAAAAATAAAAATAAACACCAATGTGATGTGCTTCCTTTAATGACAGGCCACATTAACACAGTGTGCGTGGTGCAGCTGAACGATCCTCTTCAGAGGTTCTCCAGCACCCTGACGGAAAACACCACGGACCTCACGTGGGAAGAGGAATTCACCTTGTGAGTCTGGCCGGGTTATTGCGGGCCTGCACGTCCATGCTGCGTCTGTTCAGGAGCGCCAAATCCTGAAATCATTCTGCAGCACCGTTTAGGCCAAAACACTAAACCAAAAAAGTTAAATGATGTTGGCCGGGCGCAGCGGCTCACACCTGTAATCCCAGCACTTTGGGAGGCCAAGGTGGGCAGATCACGAGGCCAAGAGATCTAGACCATCCTGGCCAATATCATGAAACCCTGTCTCTACTAAAAATATGAAATTAGCCGGGCGTGGTGGCATGTGCCTGTAGTCCCAGCTGTTTGGGGGCTGAGGCAGGAGACCCACTTGAACCCAGGAGGCAGAGGTTGCAGTGAGCTGAGATTGTGCTACTGCACTCCAGCCTAGAGACAGAGACTACATCTCAAACAAAACAAAACAAAAAACAAATGATGTCCTAAACATCTTAAAGGTAGCTTGAGGTCAAACCTGAGTTTCTTTTTAAAGGCAGCTCTTAGAGTCAGTTTTCTCCTGCCCTGACTTGATGAGAAGGAGCTGTTGTTGGGTCTCTTAGAGACACACACACCATCCTGGGCAGAAAGGGAGGGTGCCTCTGACTGAATCCAGAACCTAACAAAATAGAAAAAGGGGCTGGGCATGGGCGCTCATCCTTATAATCCCAGCGGTTTGGGAGGCAGAGGCAGGAAGATCACTTTAGCCTAGGAATTTAAGACCAGCCTGAGCAATAAAGCAAGACCTCTTCTCTACTAAAAATTTTTAAAAAATG